CTTCAAGTATTTGAAGGGCTATCATATGGAAGAGGGACTAGCCTCACTCTTTTGAACTCAGGGGTAAGAATCAGGTGGCAGTGGCAAAGAGACAAATTTAGACTATTTTTCCTCAGGTTGAAGTTAGGTCCCCCTCATTAGAGGTCTTCAAGTAAGAGTTGGATGTTCATTTGTCAGATATGTAAAGGGGATACATAGGAAATGTATCCTTTCAATTACAAATTCTGTAGTCTGGGTATGGAATATTAAATACACTATTAACTTATTTGCTTTGTCAATATATTTTGCTAAATTGTTTTTCTTTGTTACAAGGGAGCGTTCAGCAGATCTAGGGGATGAAGTATATTGAAAAATGATTGTAATGTGGGGCAAAAAAGGCATCGATAAGAAGATTAAAAAACGAAGTGATATTCAGGTCCTTACACTAAACTGCCACCTAGGGGCAGTTAGGTGGCACAGTTGATGGAGGGCTGGGTTTAGAGTCAAGATTTGGGCTCAAATTCAACTTCAAAGACTCACTAGCTGCGTTAGCAAGTTGCTTAACCTCTGTCTGCCTCAGTTTTTTCAACTGCAAAATGAGGATAATAACAGTCCCTACCCAGCAGCATTATTATGAGAACAAATGAGATGGTTGTAAAACACTTAGAATAGGTTCTTGCACATAGTAGGTCTTAATAAATGCCTCTTCCTTTTCCACTTCCTAAGATAACTACTTGTCAGTGGATGCTGTAGAAAGTATTCATTTGAACTAGATTATATAGATATATATGTATATATCTATATAATCTGTATATAGACCACTATATACACTCCCCTTATATATACCCACAGATATATGTGTGTATATGTGGGTATCACTATTATCATCACTACAACTTTAAGAATTTATCAGTTTATGAAAATATGTACAGTTTTCACTTCTAGGCTACTAGCTCTAAACCATGCCACCTCCATTTGAGCCATCATCCTCACTTCTTTCCTACAAGAACCTTGGATTCTGCCCTTAGAACCCACCCTCCAACTTACCGGCTTCTCTTTATGCATTACCTTCCTCTGTTAGAATATAAATTCTTTGAGGGCAGGGATTTTTACTCTTTTATGCATTTATTCCCAGCACTAAGCCCATTGTATGGCACATAATAAATACTCTGTCTGTAATGATGTAGACATTATCATTTGATTAATAAAATTTAATATTGCATTAGTTTTATTAGCAGCTGTATCACTGTACTGACTCTACATTTAATGTGATCAATGAGAACTAGATATCTTTGCAGGAATTTTTGCAGTGTCTGCTAGTAAGTGGTGGCATTGCTATCCTAGGTGGAACACCTATGTGGAATGGAGTGTGGGGGTAAGCTGAGGATGAAGGAGACTCCTTTGTACTCCATGACAGGAAAAGCTGAGGTTCACTTCAAGTACCTGATACACACACACACACACACACACACACACACACACACACACACACACGGAGGGTGAGGAGGAGGAGGATAGCTTGCTGTTGTCTGCCTAGCATTCAGTCCTTTGCCCAGAGTATGAGAAGTATTTCATAAACCAGGAGGGAAGCTTTCCTAATGCTGTTCTGTCTGTAAGGGTGAAAAGAGACACTAGTGCCAGATCCTCAACATGTTTTAAGTAGTAAAAAAACAACCCAGGCCAAATGAATGGTGAGAGACATTCTAAGTATAAGGCATTGCTTCTTTAAGGTTCTTATAAGGTTTGTTGCTGAGTTAAGGCTGCTTAGAGTTCTAAGATAAACAGTTCTTTGAAGCAGTTACTTTTTGAAAGTGTGATATGACAGCCAAACAAACAAAACCTAATGCAATATTGGAATGTATAAGTACAACTTCCAGGACAAATGAAGCAATAGTCCTGTTGAACTCTGCTCTAGTGAGGCCATAATTGAAGTTCTGTGTTGTTTCTGGGTTTTGAAGGTGACGAAGTCTAATATGTTGGAAAGTTATAGACACCAGAACTGTTGTATGAATTTGGAACAAATGGAATTTGCCTGATTATAGACAGAAGATAAGAATATGATTACTAATTATAAGCAAAGGTGGAATTGTTCGTAAAGAGACTCAGAGTCTGAACCCAGAAAGATAAGATATACATACATACATACATACATACATACATACATACATACATACATACACATATATATATATAGATGAAATTTGAGGATGTAAGTAACAAATATTGCAGTCACTATTGAGGAGTAAATATTGCAGTCACTAGCTGAGCACAAGAACAGATTGGAAGCACAGAAACAGATAATTCATTCATCGCATCACCTAGGTTGGCTGTGACATCCATTCAAACAATTTGGATCAATTCATTTTAGCAATGGAAGAAGTTAATCAACATAGAAGCTAGATTCATCGAAGCACTTTTGTGGAAGATTCCTGAGACAGAGAGAGGACACTGAAGTTTATAGTTTCAGAGTTATGTTACTTCGGGCACATGGATTTTCCTTACTCATGTCCTCTTGGACAGATTTTTCTAAGTGCATGGGCAAACTTCCCTTCAGAATCTGAACACATTATTGGGAAAGTATGACCAAAGTTTATGTTATACACAGTGTGTGGATTGTGATGTATTTATCATTCATACTTTTGCTTCAATATCAGTACCTATGATAGAATTGTTATTTTTGCTTTATTGTTATGTTAATAGTTGTGCTTAAGATCTAAAAGTTTCATTATTGCAAGTGGCTGGTTGTGAAAATTGAAATGCATTGGTGGCATCTCAAGAATTTGAGTAGTGAATAGGTTTATCTTTAGGACAAGATGTAGTGGAGCCAGCTCCAACTGGCTCATGACTGATTGTTAAATTATCAGTGTGAAAATTTCACTTTGGAAATCAGCAAATGCTACAAATCAGGGTTTGATATACTGCTTTGTTGTTAGACTTAAGAAAGTGCTGGAGAAAATGGTAATAATGCAGATTAAACTTAAAAGTATGTTATACATAATTTTTCCTGCCAGAGAGCTGATTGTTCACCAGACATTTACCAGACATAGCTGCCTAGTACCCTGTGATAGTTTGGGTCTGTAGCCCTTCTCTGGGAATCTACACCTGCCAGTGTGAGAGCAACTGTGCTAGCTAGACTAGAGAGTGAGTAGTATCTAGCTACCCGTGAGGTGAGTGGTTATCCATCTAGCTATATAAGAGGTGTTGCTACATAGTGAGAGACTCTCCCCACGCACCCATTACTTAAGTGACATTGCACTTTCTATTTATGAAACACAGAGAAAAATATCTTTAGATAAAAATAGTCCTTCTAGTCCCTAGTGGGATCACTGAGAATAATTGAATACCTGATCCTTTTCCTTCCCAATATCCATGGTTGGAGTTACATTTACAATCCCTAAAATATCCCCATGTTAAGTAAATGGTTGGAATAATTGGACCAATTCTCTACAGGCATACCCCACATGAAGGTGCCCTGCCATCCCCAATTTTGTAATAGTTTTATTAATATATAATAGCCAACGTATTACCAACATATAATATTCTTAACATTTCCCCATAGAATTATTTACTCTCTGCAACATCATTTTATCTATTTTTTTTCCTGGACTCAACTAACGCCATCAGGTGGGTGATAGCCTTATGTATTCCATGTGCCTTGCTCATTAAATATTTGTTGAGAAATATGATTTTAAAAATTTCAGCCAGAAAATGTTGGGGTTTGACTGAATAAGAATATGGAGAAGTATTGTTTAGGAGAAGGACTACTCAGAAGAAAAAGATATACTTTTTCAGGTCCGATATAAATTAATTTGAAAAGCTAAAGCTACCTTTCATAGAGGAATGTAAATTTTTACCCCCTTTTTCTCATTTACTTCACTATAATTGCAAAATTAAAATTATTTTCCCTGGAAAAATGTGACTTAATTTTTCACTATGGTACCTCATTGAAGTGGTGTTTGAATTTAGTGGAATGTGGGTCATCTTTATGATTGAAACTAGGGACACTACTAACAACCATAGCTTAAGGCATTTGCTATACTGATAAATTTACTATTTCACGTAAGTTTGGACTGATATGGGAATACAAAAATGTAAGATATGATTGAATTACAGGGTCCATTTCAATTTGGTATCTATAGGCTCCATGGGCCACAATGAACTACATGTACCAAACCTTTTGGTATTATCTGCTTCTGATGCTATCCGGAGTGTACTACAACAATGGCAAAAAGCTTGAAGGTCTGACTGTACCTTATACTTCCTAGACTTTCCAGGGTTAAGAAACTCTCTCAAACTCTATTTTTCATTTAATTCAATTGTTTTGGACATAATAATTCCTTACTGAAAGGGGCCCTGGGACTGTCAACTCAGGGTTTCATCTACTTTTAATCTACCCCAAGAGACAGATGAATGGGTATTTGTCACAGGACAAGCAAGGATTTGAGATAATAAACTTTTATTACTAAAGAATGTTAAAATCATTGGATTTTGTTCTTCCCAAACAACAAGGAAAATCATTAGAGGAGACACCTTGAGCATTCCAGAGAATCCCCAAGAAAGTAATGCTAGAAATTTTGGTTGGGGTATAGCAACTTGGCATTCTGATATTAGTTTGGCCATTATTTCTTGAGAGGAAAGAATACTCTGGGAATACTACTTATTTGTGTCATGATTGCCAAGTTTGTGATAGAGACTGATCATTTTAGGGTTCTTCTTTCTGTGTTTCATGTTGATTTTCTGGAGCGTGTTGGAACAAAATAACCTTTTACTTAAAACAGTTCAACTTCTGTGTACATAGATTCAAACAAGGATGTTTCCTAAATGGGTTCCATTAAAAAAAAATAAGCAAAATACACTGACACAAGGTTCAGGAGTCTTCCTAATTAGCTCTTACCTTTTTTCTCAGAAAGACAACAGCATTTCATCAGAGAAAGAGAAATAACAGAGAAATTTTTTTTTTAGTGAGGCAATTGGGGTTAAGTGACTTGCCCAGAGTCACACAACTAGTGAGTGTTATCTCTCTGAGGCTGGATTTGAACTCTGGTCCTCCTGATTCCAGGGCCAGTACTCTATCCGTTGCACCACCTAGCCTCCCCAAAATAACAGAGAAAATTACACAAAACATTGTGTGATTGTTTTTAAAAGGAACTAATAAGAAAGAAAGGAAAAACAACATGACATATGGCAATATGTACCAAGAAGGAAGTTAGGATTTAAATAAGATCATATTATCTTATGAACATGAGGAATGTATTAATGAGGTTTCCTTTCTCATATCTTTAGTTTCAAAGAAATGATGATTTCTCCACTTGGATACTCAGCAGTGATGACCAAGCTGAATAGATGTCCCACATAAATCTTTTAAAACAATATAGCATGCTAATTTAGATACGAGGAATGTAAAACAATTTGCATATTCTTAATAGAATTTTCCAGAGATAGTTGTTGAAACCATTTTGCTTCTTCACATCTCTTCTTGGTAAGCCAGGTGTTATGTTAAGGCACTTAGATGAGAATGAAGAGTTACTTCACTGTAGTCTTGTAGTTTAATCGGAAAGTTCCTGTAGGATATATCCAGGCATCATTTCATAGCAGCTAAGCAGTTATTCATGGATGGTTAAAAATACTCCTCTGGAGGCCAGAAAAAACATTTTCCCCTCAGAATAAGAGCCTGGAAGCTTGAACAATGGTGGTAGTCACCAAAATTATTGTTTAAACACTTTTTACAGATGACACTGGAATGGTCAATCTTTGACTTTCCAAGAGAAATCCTAAACATCATGAAAATGGCAATTAATTTTTTTTTCTATCTTAGGAGTGCACAGTGAACAATATTTGTAAAAATAGAAGGAAATAGTGTATTTGTGATTAAAAACAAACCTATAGCTATTTTCTATATCTTCCAAAGCAATATAGAACTGATTGGGAGTTAATAGTGAGATCTGAAGAAAATGTTCTACAGCATTCTTGTCAGCTCCTAGCCCAAATACAAAAGTTCATGGGGAATGAAAACAGACTACTCTCTGTTGTCTCTACCATCCCCCTGGCCGCACCCCCTTTTCTACAATGTGCAACTGTGTTTTCTTTCAGTTTCTTTAGTTTCACAAACTATCCTCTATTACATAAATATCTTTTTTAAACCTATATTTACCATTTACATGATAGCAACCAGTTTTCCAAAGTGGATCTTTATAAAACATCAGATGGTTGAATGGCTTTTTAGTAAACAAATGGGAATATAATGACCTGTTACCTGAGAGGCTTATGAAACATTTCACAAAAATTTTTTTTCAAAGAAGATTTTGTGACAGTGAATTATCTGGAGGAGCCATTATCCTATGGATCTGAGTGCATTATCAGAATGAGTAGCATTATCAGAAAATTTTGTTGCTATGTTAGACCTTACCACTTATGCTTTTTCACTCAAGTAAGGCTTGAGAGTAAAAAAATGGAGAAGGCACAGAAAGAAAAAGGATTAGGAGAACAGTAAAAAGAGATGGGTAAGTTGCAGGGAAAGTGAAGAGAGAAAATTTGAATTAGGGTGGATCACACCCACCCTCTCCCCAAAGCTATGAATGAAATTTGAACTTCATGAATAATAAAGACCCATGCTAATGTCACCATCAGAAGGCCACAGAGTAACCTACAGAATCTTACCCTTAAAAAGTATGACACTAAATAGTTTCCTACAGGAGTAGGAATTGAAATAATGGCCTTTTTAGCTTCTTCTAATTGCTGTTCTGCTGATACCTTTCCAAGGTTAAGCTCATCACCTCTTATCTCATCATCATTCTGCTGACTCAAGCCTTGATTGACACCACATTCCTCAGCCTCTTCTCTCTGATTGGAGATCTGAAGGGTGAAGTATCAAACTCCTCCCAATGCCTTCCTTTATAGAGAGCAGAAACTGGACCTTCTTCACCTTAACAAACCCCCAGTGTTGATCTGGGTCCCTTCGATGTGTCAGCTGTTATCAAGTACCAAAAAAAAAAAAGCCTATGCTCCTGATTGAAACCAGTCCCTGGAAAAGCATTATTGCTGAAAGCTGCTGAGCTCACCTAGCTTCCCTAGAATTAAATGGATTTTGTCCTTTTCCACTGATGGCTCAAAAGCTATCCAAGGATTTCCCCAAGGAAATTAGCATTTCCCCCCAAGGATAGGCAGTATCATCCCTGGAAAATGAGTAAGTAGTCTATGATAGGAAGACATTCCATTTCGCTAGGTTTGAAGTAGGCTTTTATGATTCTCTTTGGTCTTAAAGCAAATCTTTTTTCCCTTCTATAGTATGTGCTGAGTTGTCCAGTTATGTGAATGGGTTTCATTTTAAGATGAGACAAGACCCAAACAATGCCTGAGAAAAATCCTGGTTTTTTTTTTAAATCCATGTTTTTAGAGGCACTGAAAGACATTCTTGGCACCTGTAGTCTAAAAAAGCTAATTACGAAAGTTACAGTTTGAATCATATTCAGAAGCAAGCAGTTGGTAAATTTTATATAATAAAGAGCCCATTTTCTTCTTATTGGCTGGATCTAAAGCCTATATTGCTTCTTTTTTACTTTATCTCTTCTATTAATAATAAAGGCATCTGTGATTAGGTATTTTCATCCTCCTTCAATGCGTTCCTTCTCATACTTAGTATTGCATATTTGGTATTTTACCATTGTTGTAAATGAAGGTCCATGGTACTGTTCAAACTGAGATCAGTAATATCCAAAAAATCACTGTTGAAGATGCTTGGGCCTGTGGCAGTGAGGGAACTGAAGTCTGTTGTAGAACTTGGTGGGGTAAGGTCTAGCCACTCCATAGTTTCCCAGGGAGATTCTGTTAAGCTCATCTGCAAACCTGTTCCATCTATGGAAGAAGGTGAAAGTTGAGGTTGTATGGGGGAGAGAGGAGCTGGCAAGATCTCATGAGAACCTAAAAGTTCGTCTGTTGCTTTGTCAGATAATCTATCCATAATCCCTTCAAACTGAGATTCCTCAATTCCAATTTTTAGAAGTGTGACATCGCTGACCTTGCCCAAAGGACTGTGAGAATTCAATAAGACTTCAAAGTGATTGTCACTATTAGTTGTGCAGTGATCAAAAGAGAGCTGGGATGCTGAAGAGATATGCTCAAATGGGCTAGAGGATTTATGGAGAAGACTTTGAGAAGATCCAGTTATCTTTTGTGCTTTTTGAAAACATGAATGATCTTCTTTGACATTTGCTGGCATTTCTGTTAAAACACAAAATAAGTACATTAGTTAGGCTGTTCAAATTCAGAACACATATGATGTAAATGTCTCGATTAGATAAATTAATTCAATTAAATCATCTTAACAGAAAAGAAAATCAAGTAAAATATTTGTCCAATTTGTTTGCTAGTTTTAGTACAGATTTGTATTTGACCAGGTGTAATGAATCTTATAACATAAAAATTGCTATATGGATTCAATTATATGTACGTGAACCAAAACATTAACATTTTTCTCTTTTCTACTTGTTACAAACAAGAAAGGAAGGAGGTTTGAGCAATTCAGGAGAGTACAATGGGAAAAAATTAAGAAAAAGGGGGAATAAATTAAAAGATAAAAAGAATGAAAATTAATTTGTGACAATAAAATAACTACAGGAAGGAGAGAGTGAGGAACTGGCTACCAGAGTGGCAAAATATTAAAGTTTTGTTCCCTTTTTTCTGTTGGAAAATGAGCATGGATTGGGAATCCAAGGGCAATGTAAATGCTAAAAAATGTTCAGTGCCACTAATAGATGAATAGAATATTTCAGCTCTTTTTCTAGCTATCTAATCACCAGTCAATGTATCTAAAATCGAAAACTGATTGGTGCCACTTCCTGCAGTGTGGGCATATAGCATGCAAGGGCTTTATACCTCCACTTTCAATGAGGACATCAAGGAGTTCATCCATCTGTTGACTTTGAATCATTTGCTACAATGAAAACCATATGAGAACAGAGGAGTTAGAAAGTCATTTATCCTGTTTACCAGGGTCAATCATCCTCTTTAATATGGGAAAAATTAAATCAAAAGTTAAATTAAAGAAGCAGCTTTAATGGTTAGGGGAAGCATTAGGTCAGAATTCATTTTAAAGAAGAAAAAATTGAAATTGAATGAAGGAACACAGAATAGACAGAGTCTCCTCACTTTTTAGAGGTTTCTATCTTTGGTGTATTATATATTTACTAAGTAGGGAAACTGATTCTTTCCCCGCCCCTCACTCCACAATAACACTAACTTCTTTCTGTTAAACTGTTTACATTTAGTACAAATATTTGATTCATATTCTACTTACTATCATTAGTTTGAACTTAAATTTTTTTTTATTTGTATCTCAGCTTAAAATCTGGTAGAGATTTACTTTAAATATAGTAAAAGCATTTGAATAGGGTTAGGGTCTAGTTGGCCCCCAGTTTTCTTCCTAGTTTTGAAGCTTTGTGTTTTATCTTTATCTTAAATGTCAACTTTTTCTGGCTTTTCTGGCTGTTCCTTTTGAAAAATGAAACTCACTATTCCTGAAAGAAAGGGACATGAAGAATATTACCATATGTTAAAGCCTAGGCACCCATTATTGAAAAAATGTTTTCAAACAATCAAAGGAAATAATAATCACAATAATAATAACTAGCATTTATATAGTACTTTAAGATTTACAAAACATTTTACAATATTATCTCATTTTATCCTCACAACAACCCTGGAAGTTAGGTGCTATTATTATCCCCATTTTATAGTTGAGAATATTGAGGCAGACAGAGGTCAAGTGACTCATCTAGGGTCACCTCGTTGATCTGGGATTTGAACTCAAATCTTCCCGATACTAGGTCCAGCACTCTATCCACTGTACCACCTAATTAATGCTAAATTTTGGCTAGAGATTAGTGAAAATAAGGATTTTTTTTCCTGGTCAAGTGCATGGGCACCCTAAAATTTCTCCATGTACTTCTTAGGGATGTGTGGACCTCAGTTTAGGGACACCTATTCTAGAAAGAAAAAAGATCATGCGGTTACCTGCTTAATTGCATCCTCATAAATGGGAGGCTGCATTATCTCTGAAAGGCCTGAACTTGACTTTGAAAAAGTTGGGGATGGAATAGAAAGTTTTGGCCCTGCCTGACAAGAAGAATGTAAAACAGCCATCTGCATGAGGGAAATCCAGGGAAAGGTGATCAATGTTTAGCACATCTCTTTTTCAAAAGGGCAGTTGCAATTTTGGTAATCTAGATTAAAACAAAAACAAATGAAACATATACTCTTGTTGTATGGAACTGAGTAAACCTTCTAGGAAATGCTTCCTAATTTATCAGTCTAAACAGCATAGTCTCAGTTGTAGTTGTGGGAGCCTATTCTTGATATAGATTTGCCCTGTCTGATATCCTTTCCTTTAGGAGGGATCCACCTTCTCTGACAGCAAAAGAGCGAGAGGAGGAAAGGAAAAAATGAGAAGTTAAACATAAAGTCATAAAAGAACAAGAAAATATCAAGAATATTTCTTTCCTGCATCTTTCCATTTAAAAATTATGTGTGTTCCCAAAGAGTATTACAGGAGTAAGTCACTTATATTTTGATTCCTTAAATTCAGCTTTATTTGATTCATAAAGTATATCTTACAGGCTTAACTAGACATCTCGGTTCATTTTCTGTGGTGGCTGCAATGACTTGCTTGGGAATAGGTTGCTGTTTCCTTCCACTTCCCCGTAACCAACCACTTCTCACTCGGACTATAAGGCTCTTCTTGTTGAAGTCCTTCACTCAAAGGCTTCTCACTAGTTGAGATACAATTTACTGGCTATTCTACTTTGCTTTCTTCTTTTGAAGAGTAGATGTTTTCAGGCTATGCTCCTATGCCCTACCACCTTTTTTTAGCAATGCCAACCCTCCAGAACAGCTTCTAATTTTAACTTCCACTATGCACCTACATAAACCCCCTACCAGGAGACCAAATGGCTTTTTTTTAATTGTTTCCCAAACAAGTCATACATAGTCCTCTTGCTATTGTAATATTAGAAACTGGAGTCAGAAGGAATTGGTTTGACAATACATGCTGAGTTCAATTTTGGGGTGGGGTGAACTGTAATTGTCTTCTTAGACTTCTGTGCAACCCCAGAAGGGGGCAACTAAATGGCTCAGTGGATAGAGCTCTGGGCCTGGAGTAAGGGAAACCTGAGTTCAAATTCTGCCTCAGACACATACTAGCTGTGTGATTGTGGGCAAGTCACTTAACCTCTGTTTTCCTTAATTCACTATAGACGGAAATGGTAAACCGTTCCAGTATTCTTGCCAAGAAAACCCCATGGTAGAGTCCATGGGCACAAAAAGAGTCAGACATGACTGAACAACAATAAGCAAGGCAATATGAGGACCAGTGGATTGAAAGGAGACATTTTCATTCCACTACCAGATTCCTGTGACATCTTCAAATTCATATCTCTGAGTCATATAAGTAGCTTCAAAATAGAGAAATTTATTAGTAAAATATTCCTTTTTTCCCCTGGATTCAGTCATTTGTTCTAAAAGTCAGAGGGAAAAGATTGGGCAGGAGAAAGATTCAAGAGATGCCCATAAAAGATATTCCTAGAAGCTTACCTTGTGTTTTGTATCAGGGCTTTTGGAAGAAGCATTGACTCTGGTAACCTGCCTACTGTCTGGTTGGGTACCAAGGAAGGGAATACGGAGTTTGGATGACTCAGGAGAGAAGCCTGAAGTACTGCCATCTTGTATTCCTGAGCTCTACAGAAAGGAACAAGAGGTAAAGATGACATATCTTCACATACAGCCCCTTAGAATCATGGATCTAGAGCTGGAAGGGACCTTAGAGGTTGTTTAGTACCATCTTTTCATTTGACTTTCCTAAGATCACAAAGATAGTAAGGATCAGAGGCACAATTTAAACCCAGTTTCTCAGTACCACACCTTGCCTTGAGTGGTCTAGTAATCCCTTTAATGCTATGCAATTAATTTTCCTGAAACAACTTTATACATCTTACCCCCGACAAAAATCATCATATTTCCTAACTTCTGAATGGGATACTATATTAATAATCTCCATTTCTCATTGCTCAGTACTAGCTTTCCTCCACACTTTCTCAATTCAACTCAACTCAATAAGCATTTGAATGTCTGTTATATACCAAACACTGGGAATACAGACAAAAACAGGAAATAGTTTCTTCCCTCAAGGAGTTTACATTCTCCTAGAGGGAAGCAATATGTACAGAAATAAATGCATACAAAATTTATTCATAGTAAATACAAAGTAATTTGAGGTAGTTATCATCAAGTGTAGAGATCTCAAAGAGTTGTAATTACCCTTGTCTCACATGAAGAGGTGGCCCTTCTTTGCAAGGCTAACCTCTCTATGTGCACAAGGGATCTCATTCCATCCCTAGCATTTGTTCCCACTATCCCAGCTCTCTCACTTATCTTCAATCTCTTCCTGTCCGTTGGCTACTTCCCTAATGTCTATAAACATATACAGGTCTCTTCCATCTCTAGCACCACCTCTGAGTGAAAAGGAATAAACTACTTACCAAAGAATCAATTTTACTTTTCTAATTATTTCAATTATTGGTCAGTTTTTTTCCCTTCCTATAATCTACTTTCCTACTTTTATTTTGGTCTTAGTTCTGCCATCTGGAGTCACACATCTAAAAATTGAGTAACATAACTTCAACTCAATATTTCCTAAAACTGAAATTAGGGCTATTTGAACTTTGACATATATTCCAATCTGAAGTCTATGATCTTATCTCCACAAATCAGTGTTCACTTTTAACTTCCCTAATTCTTTTAATGATACCATTTTTTTGTATTAGGATCAAAACTTCTGATTGATATTTTACTCCATCATCCCTCTTGCCCTCTGTATCTAATCAGTTTCCAAGTCCTGCTGAGGCAATTTCTTTCTAATTCATCATCTCAGCGCCAGTCCCACTGCCATTAGCCTCTTTCAGGCCCTTATTACTTCTCACTTAGACTATTGCAAAAGCCTACTAACTAGTCTATTTGTTTTCAAAATTTCTTCTTTAATTCGTCTGATACTCACCGACAAATTAATCTTTCTAATACTGGCAGTTACATAGTCCTTTGATTATGTAACTCATCTACCCAAAACATTGTCTACTAGGAAAACTACAAACTTCTTACCCTAGCAGTCAGTTCCACAATTTGGCCCCAACTACTGTTCCAGCCTTAAAGCCCACAGCCACTATCATATACCTCACAACTCAAGTAAGTTAGACTACTCCTTGTTCCCTAAACTCTGTCTTCCTGGAATGCCATTAAAATCTGACTCCTTCTTCAAAAGTAAGCTGAAGTACTCTTCTTCATGAAGTCTTCCCTGATCACGAGTCATTTAGTCTAAACTCACCTTTTATAAAGAATCCTTTCTATGATTGTCTTATTACCTTCCAACACAGTACATTGTATTTTTTATCAGCTCTAATTGTTAAGAATTTTTCTGTACGTGGAGCTGAAATCTGCCTCTCAGCAGCTTCTAACTTTTTTGCTCCTAGTTCCTCCCTCTGAGATGAAGAATAAATGCAATATCTCTGCCATATGACACCCTTCAGATACTTGAAGAAAGCTATCATGTCTTCTCTCTTTTACTCTCTAGTTTAAACAACCCCTAATCTTTTGTATGATATGATCTTAAACCCCTTTGCCATTCTGGTTGCTCTCTTCTGGATGTTCTTTAGATTACTGATGTTCTTCTACAGTATCCAGAAGTGAACATAATATCCACATATGGATGGAACAAAATGAAATACAGTGGATCCATCATTTACCTTACTCTATATCCTATCTCAAAGAGTGAGTTAGGTTGGGTTTGCAATCAGGTTGGAAGACCTGAGTTTAAATTTGGCTTCAGACACTTATTAGCTATGTGATTCTGGGCAAGTCACTCAAATTCTGTCTGCTTTGGTTTCCTCAACCATAAATTGGTACTAATAATAGCACCTTTTGTAGGGATCAAATGAAATAATATTTGTAAAGTGCTTAATACAGTGCCTGGCACATAATAGATGCTTAATAAATGGCCATTCTCTCCTCCTCCCACCACTGTTAAATGCAATTTAAGATCATATTAGCTATTTTGACTGCCATGTCATATTGTTGCCTCATATTAAGATTGCAGCACACTAATACTACCAGAAATTTTTCTAGGAAGCATTTACCTCCCTACCTTCCCCCTCTTGCACTGATGAAATATTTTTTTGAAATTAATTTATTCCTATTAAATTTCATCTTAGCCTAATATTCTAATCTGTCAATTTGTAATCATTTATTAATGTTATCAATATTAATTATGAATATCAAATCATTCATTGAAGTGTGAGTTATCCTTCCCAGCCTTGTGTTATTTTTATATATGGTCACCATGCCATCTGTGTAATTGATTGACAAAATTATAAAACAGTACAAGGCCAAGGTTTGAAGGCACCCCACTATAGACTTCCCTCTAAAAAATAACTTCAGTCCAATCCTCTGGTCATTAAAGTGGTTCTGAATCAGTCTGTCTAGTTATAGCATCATCTAGCTCACATATTTCCGCTTGTCCATGAAGGTAGCTTTGCTGAAATCTAGGTAAACTGTAGATATAGTATTCTTCTCATTTACTAGTCTAGTAACCCTCTGGAAAGGAGGAAATGAGTATGGCATAACAAAGCAAATGGTATTTGTGTAAACAGCATTATAAAATACAGATAAAATTACTCCCACACTCTGTCATGTACTTATATGTGTCATTATCTCACAGGTTACCAAACCAAAAGTGAGAGGACACATACATAAACAGAGAACACATATGCCAGAAGAAGTCAAGTAGTAAGGACAACTCAAGCTGCTTCAGCAGTTCCCCTACTACTTCAATATTTCTCATTTTTCAGTGCTGTTGCTACTGCTACCCTCCTCCCCCAATACTACTGATTTCCTCTTGTGATGTCATTAGGTCTTTACTGAGTTGTGGTCCTCTCCTTATTTGTTCTCTCTGTCATGTTGATTGGCCTCTACTGATGTTTCAGTTGAACTTCTCCTTCCAACAAAAAGTTGAATTGCAGCTATTTATATGGCCTCTTTCTGTATGGGGAGGGAGTCTATTCAGCATATTCAGCCCATATCCCTAGAACTATTGCATAACCTGTTTTTAATTAAGCCAAGTTGGCTTTTTGCAGTCATTACCTCCTTTTATAGACTTTAATAATCATCCCTTTAATAATTTGTTCAAGAATTTTACCAGAAACCAAATTCAAGCTCACTGGGCAAAGTTTGTGGACTCTATTCACCCCACCCCCTTTAAAGCAGGACACTATTTGTCCTTATTTAGCACTACATCAGTCTTTCCAAAATCACTGACAGTGGTTTAGAAATAACATCTGCCAGTGTTTTTAATACTCTCAAACGTAGTTGCTTAGACCTTGTGAACTAACTCATCAAGCACAGCTTGGTTTCCTCCTTTCTTCTTTCTTATCTCATTCTTCAAATTCCTAGTAGCCATTTTCACTCATTTGGATCTCATCCATTTGATGTACTCAGTACCTCCTCTGAAATGGTATAGCATGCTGTAACTTTCTTATCATTTGTACTTTTATTATCCCTACTCCTAGGTTATAAGGCCTTTGAAGGCAGGGACAATATCTTATTTATCTTTTAATCACTCATGGTATTTAGCATGCACTCAATAAATATTTGTTGAATGCATAAAGTAGCTTTTCTACTGAAAAATAATCTTTGGAATAGTTTTACACTATTACAGTATTGGTTGAAAGCTTAATCAATGTTACTGTGATGGAATGTTCAAGGACATGGGAAAACCACCAAAACAAAATGACCATACAGAAATAAGACCAGTTGTATTTTAAACAAAATGACACTTTGATATACAAGTAAATAATAAGATCCAAATAAAAATCCTTCAAAAGCTACCTTGGGAGATTATACACTTATTTTAATAATGCTCACATCGTTCATTTTTGGGGGGAGTTTCTCATTGGGAATTGCCTTGAGATCCTGGGTACATTCTTTTGAATATTTTCAGGGAGGGCAAATCTACTCCTTTGACTTTAAGAACTAACTAAAAATCCCTGAATGATTAGTTTGGTTAGTTCCTAAAATAAAATCCATTTTCAATAGGTGAAGATTTACCCTCTGTGAAAATATTCAAAATAATATGTCTCAGCTCCCAAGGCAATTTCCAAAGAGGAGTTCCAGCAAGCAATTGTAATAACAGAAATACTGATTTTCATTTATTGTATAATACAACATGTTTTCTATGTAATATCTGTTTAGATGCTAACAATCATAGCTCTGTGAGGCAGTAGGTAGTACAGATACGTGAAGGGATTTAAATGCTTAATAGAAGAATAAATAGTTTATCTTAGAGGCAATGGTAAACCACTGAAGTTTCTTGGGCAAGGGAGTGACATGATTAGACCTGTACTTTAGGAATAGCCATTGGCAGCTGTAAGGAGAGTGATTTAGAGCAGTGGAGATTAGAGTCTGAACTTTTACAAAAGTCCAGACAAGAGAGCACATGGGTCTGAGCTCTGTTGGTGGCTATGTGAATGGAAAGAAAGGGACAGATATCTTTCTACTTATTGAAGTGTTCATGTGGCTAATTCAGGGTAGAACAGAACTAAAACCTAGTTTCTTGGCACTAGACCCAATGTTCTTTTTATATTATGAGAGCTATCTTCAAATATCTGATAAACTGTCAGGTAGATAAGAATATAGTGTCACTCCATAGAGTAGAGCTGGGACCAAAAAGACAGCATGGCAGAATTGTTAACAGCAGTAGACTTAGAGTCAGGAATACCTTCTTTCAATTCTTGTTTCAGACACATACTATCTGCATGAACCTGGAGAAGTCATTTGAAGTCTGTAAGCCTCTATTTTCTTATTTTTAAAATGGGGGTAATAATAGTACCTACCTAACACGGTTGTGAGGACCAAATGAGATAACATTTGAAGTATTTCATAAAATTCAAAGCATTACATAAATGCTAGCTATTATTATTATATTACATTTTCCTTTGTATCATAGACTAGAACTAGAAAAGATTTCAATTTACATATTATGTTTCTCCACTAGATTACTCTTTGAGAGAAGGGCTGTGTCTGTCTTATTTAGCTTTTTTATCTTCCTGAGAACCTAGCATAGTGACTAGCAAGTAGTTGACGCTTAATGAAACTGACTCCCTCCCAGCTAAGCACAAGGCCTTTTTATGATGGCCTGTATGGGCAGCATTTCTCAAAGCCTGTCCTATAAACTGAAATGATAATCTGCTTTTTAGCAGTTCATTCTTAATGAATTTTATATATGCCTTGAGCTCCTTACCTGAATTGAGCACATTTGGCTGCTGTTTTGTGAGAGGCCACTGTGCTTCTCTCCTTGGGAGCTAGAAGATGAAGAAAGGTGGTAATGGTTGTTGGGTGATGGGGGGCGACTGATACATTGTGGACTTTTTACAGCTCCAACTGGGGAATGTTGGGGAGAATTCTGAGGGCTAAGAAATGTGGAAGAAAGTACTTTGGTCTGTCCTATGGACTCTACAGAATGACTGTTTAGAGGGGGAAGGAGCTGGGCAGGTTCTCGAGTACTTAGCTGTTTCTCTGAATTATTAGTCTGTATTTTCACAGATGTTTGTTTTGATGGAAAAGGGCAACTGCATACAGTATCTTCCTTCTTGATGTGAATACCAAAGAAATTTGTTTGTGGCTGTTTTTTCTCTGTATAGTTATTCCTCTTCTGCTTCTGAAGTTCCATCCTCAGCTCTTCCACTTGTCTTTGCTCTTGCTGTAGCTTCATGGTAAGTTCATTAATCACCTTTTGCTTCTCTACTAACATCTTATCCTTCTCAGAATCAATTCCATCTAAATCAGATTGGATGCATCCCCCATTGAGGCTGCTCATTAGGCTCTCCTCTGCACAAATATGGATAGGAGAGGGCTGAAGAACAAATGATGGTGAAGTGTCATTGAATGTATCTGGTAGAGAGCCATTGACTGAGACATCAGATGAAGCTGGGGAAATGGGTGGTGTGGAACTGGTGCTGCCAAAGTGATAGAAACCACTGGGTAAGACACTAGTGGAAGAGGACTGATAACTGGTTAGAGTATTGGCTGGGTTGACAGGAAAAGTGATAGTAGTTATATCACTAAAATTTGGCCCTGTGTTCTCAGGGCAGTCCTGGAAGGGTCGAAGACGATTCATGAGGGCTGTTTTGGTGCCTGATACAGGTAGGCCCCTTATTCGAAGTTGTTGTCTCAATTCGGAGACCTAAAAGAACAAAGGAGTTTAGATTATTTTTTCACTATACTCATAAAAAATTCTGTTGTTAATAGTGTATAAATTTGTAACTGCATTATTAACTACCAAAACTCATTATATAATTAAAATTGGCATATGCTGAGTTGAATTTTCCTCTTATTCCTTTGGACATATAAGTTAATATATGTGAGTTTGTATAGGGGGTAAATAGTGTTGTATATTTAACAGGGTTAGAAAGATGAACCCTACTTGTAAAGCCATACATGGAGCCAACCAACCTATTTATAGATTGTAAGAATACCTCTTTTCTTGTTCCCATGTTTAATCTCATTTTCCTGCATTCTAGAAGTATTTTTAGATATTTCCTCATTAATTACTAAATTGCCCCAAATCTCTTATTAGTCATTGAATCTTTAAGCCCTTACCTCACTTCATCAAATATTATTTAATTACCTGGAGAAACCTCCTTTCCCAACTGTAGTTGTTACTTTTCTCACAGGAAAGAGAGAAGATTATTCTGTAGGAAATGGGGGTCAGGTATGGTAATTGAAAAAACTATTACTTTAAAAATATTAATATTAATGCAACCCTTTTGGAACTATTGTTTCTTCCTCTGTATATGTGTATGTATGTGTGTGTGTGTGTTTGTATCCCCAACACTTAGCACGACGCCTTAGATGTATGAGGTTCTTAATAATTTTCTTTATTAGTTGTTCCATTTGGAAATGAATTCAGAAAACTGCGGTGGCACAGAGGAGATAATTGAAAGGGAAAGGCAAAGTGGCTATCAGCCATTGAAATGAAGAACTCAAACTTTGAGTGTCCTCTAGTGGCCATTGGTGATATTGCGACCTTCTTAAAGGTTGATGGACACATTTTTTCAGGTCAGGGAGGAGACATTTTAAATAAAATGATATTTGGTGACTAACTGAGATATATTCACACTTTGAGTCACTCCAAATCAACTTGGCTAGATGTGAACTCACATGACAGCCATCCCTGTATGTATAAGGTAGGTAATCACACAGGGAATCAAGGTTGGAAATTAGATCCCTGTATTGATTTCAATGCCTTGAACTGAGTAAATACTAAGATTGGCACCTACTCTCATCTCTAAGATTTTCAAATTATTGTGGAGAGATCAATTGTTTAAAAAACCACATAGTCTAAACCTACAATTTAATTTGGGTATAGATGGGGGTGGTGATTCACAGAATCTCAGAGTTAGGAGGACTACTTAACTTCTTACCTGAAGCATAAAACCCTTCTACAGAATTTCTGTCAGTCTCCACTTGAATTCTTACAGTCACGGGGCACTCACTACCTCTTAAGGCATCCCTGCTGGACAGTTCTAATTATTAATAGAAATTCTTTATGTGGTGTTGAGCTGAAATCTGCCTCCCTGCAACTTCTATCAATTGTAGTTCTCCTCTTTGGGGCCAAACAATTAGTCAGCTGACACTTTTTAAATACCTGTTGTTTGACAGGAACTGGGGACACAAAGACAAAAATTAAACAATCACTTCCTTCAAGATGTTTGCCTACTATAATGGAACATGTTTAATCCCTTGTGAAAAATGGAACCCTTTTGAACCAGATAAGGCCATTCTACATGAAATAATCCTGCTAAATTCAATAAATAATGTCATTTGGGAGATTATTTCATCATTAAATAATCATGTTGTAGGTGGTATTTTGATTTTCTCCATAAACCCTATAGGACCAAATATCAGTCTAGGTTTAAGTCAAAATACATAAAACTCTTGACTCCCACTCTTGGACTCAACTTCAGTGGTCTATTCTTTTTGTTTTCCTCTTGAATTGTAGTAATTTATCTAGCAGAGGATGTGCTTATCCTATAGTCGGAGAAACAGAATCATAGAATCATAATTGGAAAGCTTCTCAGAGTTCATATAGTACCTGAAAGGAATGTTCCTTACAAGGTCCCCGACAAGCAGTTGCTAAACATCTGTTTCAAGAATCCAATTATAAGAAATTAATTACTTCCCAAGGCATCCCATTTCTCTTTTGAATAGCTCTAATTATTAAAGTTTCCTTATATACAGCTGAAATTTGCCCTTCTGTGACTTGAACTCACTGCTTTTGGTTTGTTCTCTGCCACTAGACAGAACAAATCAAAACTTTCTCCTTTGTGACAAAATATTTGAAGATAGGTGTCATTTCTCTTCTTCCTCCCCATTCTCACTCCTCAACCTTTCCCCCACTATTCTCTGTCCCCTTCATTCTCTTCTCCAGGCTAAATGTTCTCATTTCTTGCAAGTAATCTTCTGTGACATGGATATGAGTGCCCTTACCATTTTCCTACTCTGAACGTACTCTAGCCTATTAATGTCTTTCCTAAACTGTGGCACCAAAATGAACACACTATTCCAAATGCTGTCTTACCAGGTCAGAATACAATGGTACTGTTATCTCCTCCTTCTAGACACTATGAACAGATGTTTTTGTAAAAAAAAAAAAAAACTTTTGGTTGTAGCTACCAAAATGTGAGTGAAATGCCAGTAGAGAATTATGAGTGTGGGAGTGTTTTTAGATATGATTTCTAGTTAAAGGAATAGAATCTGTGCATTGATTTCTAGCAAGCAGTATGGCTAGAGTGCTGACCTCAGAGTATGGAAGATTACATGGAGAAACATCTTTTCCCAAGTTCTGCTTCTGAAGTATACTAATTGTATGACAATGGGCAAATCGTTCAGGTTATTAGTGTCATAAGACTGTAAGATAGGGGCAAACTGCAGACTTAATCAGCATAAGGAGTTTACACAATGGGAGTTTTCTACAATGATGAAATCATACTTCCCCACTTCTGAAAATGTATTGGCTAAGAATTATCTTATAGATCCTCTCAAGGGAAAGAACAGAGTTACTCTACTCTGGAGTTTACTGCAATTATTTCATTATATATAATACATTTGTAGTATGGAAAAGAGAGTTATAAAAAGTGGTTGATGACTGGGATTTTACACAGTAACAAAATTCTCTGTCTCCCCTACCACAACACACATACAGACTGCTATTGTATTACCCACGTAATATTTGGTGATTGCTACTAAATAATCTTTTTTTTAATAGCCACCAAAACTTATACCTTCAGATCATCCAGATTTGATGGAAGAGGACCCAGCTTGAGAGAAGAAATGCCAGTTTGTCCAGAAAAAGTAGGTTTGGCAGGAGACAGAGGATTATTGCTTATGGAAACTGATGAGTTTGGATTTTTGATCAATTCTTCATTGGGTTCCCTAAAAATAGACAATGGGATATTTTAGATAACTGCATAGTTTATCGGGCACACAGTAGATATTTAATAAATGCTTGTTGATTGATTGATCAGTCTGGCAGCATGTTTTCATTTAGGTTCTTCAGTAACAATTTAGGTTCTGGCTTGTCCATAACCCAGTAAAGTTTAGAAACTTGAATAAAATGAGGACTAGGCATATTTTCCATCATGAGATAAGAAAGAATGAACAGTAAAGAAATTATTTTATCTTAAATTTACAGACAGCTAATGACAAATTTTGGGACTAGATCTGTTTTTGAGTTTGTTGGTCAACCCATTCAATTGTGCAGCTCTTGGATGTATATGAAGTATTTAGATGACTTCCCCTTCCCTCCCAAACTATATTTCAAATGGAAAGAAATAAGAAACATTTTCTCTTTTCCATGTGGAGTTTCCCTTCAGTGTCTTTGCTCTAAATACAAATGTTATCTTGTCTTAACTAATATAGGTTTTCTAAAAAGTGGAGCCAAACAACTGACTTTGATAAAATTAAAACCATATTTTAAATATAAATGTCTGTTATTCAAAGGAATTCTACTGTAAATCATAGTCATTTAAGAAAGAATCCATTTGTGATGTAATATCCCAAAGCTTTATAAGTTCACATTTTATCTATTGGATTTTCTTAAAGCTGGGCACAGTGGTATTATAAATAGGAGAAATGATCTCCTTTGTTTCTCCAAGAATTAACAGGACTCCTGGAGATGAGGTGTACTTGCTCCCTTAATGTCAACACCTTTCTGAGGTAAATTCCTTGCCTTCTGAGGTTATTCCTTGCCTATTCAACTTCCCCCGCCCCATCTTTTAGAGTTTTGATTGCTTTGATAGGAGCCTAGAAGTGAAGTTTCTCCTGACTTCCTAATCTTCTCCTTCCTTTTATTTCTTAGTGGCACTTTAATTTCTGTTTACGGCCACTTCTTTTGGAGATGGGAAAATATAGGACTAGATGATGATTTTATCAGCTCGTGTAACATAAGAATTGTGATAGGAGATTAGGGTTGTGGGGGAAGAAGAGCAAAATTCTTATTGATCAGCCAACAAGCTATAGTGACTGCTTACCCAATACTTTAAGTTGCCAGAAGAAATGAAATATAATCTTTGTCCTCAAAAGGGTTAAAGTTTATAAAGAGGAACACACACTGGCATTATTCATTCTAGGTCAGTAGTTTGGTGGAGTTATCTTTGCAGACCCAGAACTTCCTAGCCTGAAGGATTGCTCACCTCAAGCTATCTCTTTTATTCATCATCACTTCTCTCTAGACATATGTCCCCTAATGTCCTTGAAGTTCATGGTTTGGTCTCAATGCTCAGATGTCAGACATAGCTTCCCCTCTGAAGGAGCTTACAATCTAGCTAGGAAGACAAAGCTAACACAATAGAAGACAGTATACAACCAGGTACGGAATAATGAAAGGTAGCATGCAATCGGTGGCTAGGCGACATGCAATAAGTAGCCATCTCTAGGGCAGGGGGGTGGGAAGGGAAGAAAAAAAAGAAATTTACATGATAGTTTTGTTGTATATTTGAGAGGAATAGCAAGTTGTGCATAGCAGATTTGCAGTTTCATGTACAATCATCTTTTTTATCATATTATGTTATGAAATGCTTGTTTTATTCCATAAATTTCAAATCAAATAAAATAAAGAAATGACATAGAAATGAGAGATTGCAATGAGTTCATTAGCTACCCATTGCCTTCAACCGTGTCTCCTAAATTGACTCACTTTAGCTGTGCTTGATGATGCCCTGGGTAGCTAAATCTTTGCTGCTGTTGTTGTTGGCTGAGGATTTGTAGTTGTAGGAAAAGTTGCTGCTGCTGCAGAAGCCTAGCATAGGCAGAGTCCATGGGAGGAGGAGACTTTTCTGCCTTTTGGTCAGGTGGAATGTATTGGTGATATTTTAGCTTCTTCACCTTTGGTTTGGTGTCCTTTGGCTTTTTGTGGCGGTTCTTGCTGTCGCTAAAGGACTTAGACTGCAAGGGATATTGGAAAAATAGCATAAAAATTAGCAGATATACAATGAGGTGATACCATGGAAAATGTGATGGGAAAATCTCTTTGTAGGGATGTTTTTGAATTACAGAAACAAAATGCAAAAAAAAAAAACAAAAACAAAACCTTGCCACATGGCTTCTGGGAGATATGCCTTTCTAATGAGAATGGATCACACTAAATCATCACTCTCAATCTCAGTGATTAAACCAAAAAATATCACTACATGGTGTGAATTGAGAACTCAGGTCAGTATGTAATTTAGACCCCCTTCTCTCTCCAAGTTGAAAGATGATAGGAAGAAAGAGTACTGTTTACAACTCAAATGACAAAGAATGTACACACCACTGTTAAGATTTGCCATTTAATAATAGCTGACATTTTTATAATGTTTTAAACTATATAATATACATATATTATCTCATTTGATCCTAACAAAAAAGCTCTATGAGGTAGATATTACAACTATTATTATTCCCACTTTACAGATAAAGGAAATGATATTCAAGGACATTAAATGTCAGAGGCAAGATTTCCCTATCAATATAGTACAGTAGAAAAAAAAACACTGGTTCTGGAGTGAGAGGATCTGGGTTCAAATGTTGTACCTGTGGGAGTTAAGTCACTTAAAATCTCTGAGTTTTATTTTCCTCATTTGTAAAAATTACAGGATCAGATCAGATGACCTCTAAGGTTTCTTCCATCTCTAGGATCCTATGATTGCTAGTTCACTACTAAACCATGTTGGCTTTACATGAAACCTACATTGAGATTTGGATACAGCTTACTGACTGTAAGGTCACCCTCTATACCAGGATTTAGTCAACCTAAAATAGAATAAAGGAAAAGTGTGAAAATTCTATAATTTGAAAATGTTATGAAAATACATTGAATCAAAAATGTTGATGATATAATGATAAAGGCAAACAGGATAGTGGTATTCTCAGTAGAGCAAAATGAGAGTTAGACAATAATTTTTCCCATGTTTCCCTAGCACTATCTGGGAAGGAGGTTTTCTAATCAGTAGATATGAAAATTCTAGTCTACTTGGTAGGGAGTATAATAGTGATATTAACTCACACACATATATATTAATTTTTAAGAGTTGCATAGTAATTTTATTCACAACATAAAGCCAATAGTATTAGCATTATCCTCATTTTATAGCTTAAGGAAACAAAACTTGAGGTATACAATGGTTATATGATTTTTTCCCCCATAGTCACAGGGCTGATAAATGGCAGCGTTGAGATTTAAATCCAAAGGTTCTGACCAGGATCCTTTCTAATATTCTATACTACTTTGATGAGAGTGACAGCCCCAACAGTCAGTCAATAAGCATTATGTGCCATGCACTGTGTTAAATACTGGGAATACAACTTTAAGCAGAAAGAATAATAGTCCTTGCCTTCAAGGAGCCTGCTAAATTTTAATAGGAGAAGTCAAAGAAGAAAACACATAGAAGGAAGCTTAAAAGGGGGAGAGTGGAAAGAGGAAAGGGCTAGAGAGAGAGGAGGGAGGAAGGAGAAGAGAAGGAGAAGAGAGGGAGAGGAAACAAAGGTACCTAGTAATAAATAATAATAGCTAACATTTGTATAACACTTATTGTGTGCCAGGTACCGTGCTAAGTGATTTACAATTATTATCTCATTTGATCCTCACAACAACTCTGGGAGGTAGGTGCTATTATTATTGCCATTTAATAGATGAGGAAACTGAGGCAGACAGAGATGAAGTGACTTGCCTAGGGTCACACAGCTAATAGGTGCCAAAGGCTAGATTTGACACTGGTCCTTAGGAAGACTGAGTTCAAATCTGGTCTCACGCACTGAATAATTGTGTGACCCTGGGCCAATTACTTAACCCTGTTTGTATCAGTTTCCTCATCTTTAAAATGAGTTGGAGAAGGAAATGGCAAACTACTCCAGTATCTTTGCCAATAAAACCCCCAAAAGGGGTCACAAAGAGTTGCACATAACTAAAAAATGACTAAAGAACAAAAACAAACTTCCTAGTTTCAGACCCTGTGCTGTATCCACTGCACCACCTAGTAGGGGTTGGGGGGCAGGGGGTAGTTGAGAAAGTCCAAAATGCAGCCTGTAGAGTGATAAGACATGGCAGGACTAAGCACATTACTTAAATGGAGGTTCTGTGAGGAGCCATCCAGTTACAGCAAGAGGTTGCAGGTGGCAGAGAGTATCTCCACATTGGAGAAAGTGAGCTTTCAGGATAAAGAGGTTTCTGGGGCATGGTAAAGGAAATCTAGAATGTAGCCAGGAGAAGAATTCCATTGACTTCTTTTGACAGTCAGTCCATTAGGGGAATAACCAGAAGATGAAGCATCTTTTTTTTTTTTTTTTTTTTTTGCCCATGTTTGTTCCAATGGGGGAGTTTCAAAGAATAAACTTTTAGGAGAATTTTTGCCATGCTGTGATATGTCTTGTTCCTCTCCAACTCTGCCCCCAGATGATAGATACATAGACTGATTTGGAAATGAGAATTATTGTTGAATTCAGGAACAAATATGTATTTGGAAGGGCATAGGAAGAAAAGGGTAATTTGCTCCATGTTCCTTGAAAAAGAGAGGCAGACACACTAAGGTAGATAGAGTTCTGGACCTAGAGCCAGGAAGAAGTGGATTTGTGTCTTGCCTCTGAAATATAACGGCAGCATGTCTCTGGGAAAGTCACTTAAAGACAATTTTAAGACTATAATAAAATTATAGATCTAGTCCAGTATCTATCTTCAAATAAATGAGTCTTCATTGTTCAAATGTTTATAGCAACCTACTCTATGCACATGAGACAATGGTTAACAATTTTCCTTGTGAGCACAGAAGAACGCTAGCTTTATTGAAACTTTCGATCTCTCTCTAGCCATTTTGGAAAGCAATTTGGTGTTTTCCCTTTTGACTCAACAATATCACTATTAGGACAATACCCCAAAAAGATCAGAGATGTTAGGAAAGGATTCACTTGCACAAATATATTTATAGTATTTCTTTTGGTGGTAATCAAAAACTGGAAACTAGGAGGTGTCCATCAATTGGAGAATGGCTAAACACACATATAAAGGTAATGGAATATCATTGTACTGTAAGAAATGATGAATGGTATGTTGAAAGACTTTTATGAATTGATTCAGAGTGAAATGAACAGAGCCAAGAGGACAATTTGATCAACCCAATTATCTACCCTGACTTACCAATCTTAGCTCTTCATTTTAGGCCATGCCCATGTCTGTCTTTGTGCTCTTTTTGGCATCACTATTCCAACCTGTAATGTCCTCTCTACTACATTATACTTATCTGACTCTTAGTTATTCTTTAATGCCCAACTCAAGCTCCACCAGCTCTAGTACCTATTAGCTCTAGTATCTGTAATGGAATTACATGTATAACAAGAGTTGCACAGTATTAGTAGGCAAGGATGTACAGAAACTGACATTACAGGAGGGAAGAGTAATTTTAGTGAGATCACAAATTTAAATGAATATTTGAGTGCTCCTAGGAGATAACTTTAAAAATGCCCCATCATTACATGAGAAAATATAATTAAAAAGTTTCTCTGGATTCTAGGTTAAATTTATCTATATCTTATTAATTCCAATGCCATCTATATACATTTGAAAATTAGTAATGTTTATATGTGTAAGACATTATTTTTTTAATTCTGTAGGATTATTTTTTCAATTCTAAAGAAGGTGTCTTTATTTTATCGAATCACACTGCACAATTTTTTTTAGAACTAAATAAAGAACAAACTTTAATAAAAGGAAAAGTATTTACTGGGGAGATCAAGGCAAATTGACTCAGTATCCAGGCAGCTTCTATGCAACCCAGAGCTCAGAAAGCCTATTCTGAACTACAGGAAGAAACAGTCAGACTGAGCAGCCCAGTGCCTAGGCAGCTATTGTCCAACCACAGAGCAACATTAGGAAACAGGGCCAAGGCAGCACTTGGGAAGCAAATCAACTGGGGTCTTGCAGGAAGCATGACATCAGCACAATCAATAATATTTGGCTAAGGTCTGTCAGAGTCATACCAAGGGATGAAACCAACTCTGAGTTCGAGATTGTGCAAGGAGAAAGAGACAGAGAAGGAGCCAAGGCCAAAACTTAAGTTGAATAATCAAGACAGAGCTCAAACCCAGGAATTCCTATAAAAGGTGGTGTCTAGTCTTGATGACTGCATCTGGGACAAAGCAAGGCCTATCCATGTCATTCAAGAGTATGGAAGGGAGCAGAATATGTCCAAACACAAAGTCCCCAATCCAGAAATTGAGGCTGGGGATGTGAATGAATGAAGATAACACAATGAAGAACTACCTTGGATTGAGAGAAGTCTAAGAAGTAAACCCAGAAGGAAAGAGTAACTCCCCAGCAAATCCAAGCACAGCTTCAGAGAAAAGAATGCCCTGGCCACAGACACTATAAAATTAACTGAAAGAAATGAAAGAAGAGACACAAAATATAATAATAAAGGAAACAACAGCTAGGGAAGAAAGAATGACAATGAGAATTGATAGCTCAGAAAAGATGGCAATGAACGTTACCCATAAAATTTGCCAAATAGAAAAGAACAACTCCATGAAACAATATTATTGTTGTTGAGTCATTTCAGTCATGTTGAATCTTCATCACCTCTTTTGGGGTTTTCTTGGCAAAGATATTGGAGTGGTTTGCCATTTCCTTCTCCAGATCATTTTACAGATGAGGAACTGAGGCAAAGTTAAGTGATTTGCTCAGGTCACACAGTTAATTAGTGCCTGAGACCAGATTTGAACTCACAAAGAACAGTCTTCCTGATTCCAGGTCCAGCATTCTATCCACCACAACACCTAGCTGTCTTCCATGAAATAATAAACAATATTTAAAAATCAAAATATTGAAAAAAAAATAGAAGATACCCACCAACAAAAACTGACCTATAAAACATGCCAAGGAGAATTTAAGAATCATCAAACTACTTGAAAATCATAAT